TGTGGGTGTGTGTGCTTTAGCAACCTTGTATCAGTGTGTCATTGTAACCTTATGAACTCGAGTGCTGGTCTGGGGGTCTCTAATTAGGAACGGCTGATGAACGGCCATACATTACGTGAGAGAGAGGTGGGGGGGTGGTGACTGCGAGTGTGTATCCCTGCATGTATCAATCTGTGACTATGTGCGGCGGTTGTCAGCGAGGTAGGAGAGTGTCTCAGCCTGGAGAAAGTGCAGGTCTAGCCTTGGTCATGTTGACGGAGGGGCGGCACTTCAGAGGCTCCAGGACCCCATGGCACCAGTCTCCCCAGTCCCCCAGACAGACTGGGAGCATCTGGGCTCTGTCAGCGCCTCTGGCCCCCGCAGACTCCGATCTATATGACGGGGGAGAGGAGTGGATTGGATCAGGGAGAGGGAAAATATGAGCCAGATTCCTCTGCCTGCCTTGTGCAAATGCATGCTTTGCCAGTTCGCATATTACATGTGTGTATGTGTGTGTCTGGTTGTATTAAGGCCTGATAACAGGTCATAGTGATTAATTTTGCATGATGGGAGATGGCGGGTTATTGATTAGCGACTAACGTTAGAAGAAGTCTCTCTATAAAGTCTTCAATTAAGCATTAATTAAAAGTGTGCAGCTAAAAATATGCAAAGCCGGTTCTGAGCGAAAACATCAAGATTGGACCGACAGATATCATTCCAGAGTTTCCTTATGAAAATGATTTGATCATGCACTACCACACGGAAACTGATCCGCACACTTGCCAAGACTAATTAATCCATACACTAAATTAGGAATATAAATTGTGGTCCCAATTTAACAAGGTCAGTCTTAACTTCTCCCTTTACACTTTATTTAACTGTGTTGGGGAGGGAGAAAAAAGGAGCCCTATCAATGTGCTTCGCTTATTATGATTGACGATTGATGATTAAGTCCTCCAGCTGACACACACCACCAAAGCCGGTGAGTTGGAATTGGATGTGACACATACACAGTTCTGCGTGTTAGGTAATTCGTTGACGAGGGGCCAAATTCATTTATGGAACAGCGGTATTGGCAGGCATGGACACTCTCTGCAAAAACAACGATAATCACAGAGGTTTGGCGCGGCGTGACAAGGACTCTTCAGGGAAAGGCCCTTACACGCTGCTTTGTTGGCCATTCCTCCCTAAGATGGAGGGAAACATCCGCCGCTGTTCTTAAGATGAGAGTCGCTCGATCCAGAGGAGGAGCGGAGAGGTTTCACACGAGGTGTGGAAGGTGTTTAAAGGGCTTGATTAGCATTGGAATCGCTTGAATTATACTAGCTGGAATGTGTAAATTTTTTAAAAAACATGTAAATTTAGCCGTGGCCTTCACTTTTTTTTAGTTGGAAGCAATAAGTGATTATTTCTCCTTTTTTTGTGAAATGGATGAAATAAAAGCTCTGATAAATCCTCTGTAATGAAACATGAGGGGGACCCTGTCTCAAGCCATTTAATCTCTTTTCACATTCTCAATTTTTTCTGCTAATGAGCCTTATTGACAATCAAACAGAAGCTGTCATCCCCCAGGATGCAACACTCCCAGCCCCTGCGTGTTTGTCATAGTGTCCTGGCAATCAGAGCTGCCTGCAAGACCAGGCTGGCAGTTAGTGGTTCTCACAGCAGCACTGCCTGAAAATGGCACACTTCCTGTAGAGTTGCAGCTGCCACCTCTGCTACTTCCATTACTTTCTATAGCATGCAGATGTTGTATCAACATTCCCTGCCAAGGGGACTGCAATAACTGTGAGATTCATGCCATGTTTCAGAGGCACGTCAATTTCTCAAGTGGCACAATTAAAGAGGGAAATACAGTACCAGGTTTTTCACAGGCGCTGAAATCGGAAAAGGGCTTTTTCACTTATTTTTTTTTTTCCAAAGGGGGGCTGTTTCATAAGGGTTCAGAAATCCACCCGAATTTTACTGCCCTTTTCCTGAGTTGAGCTGTTCTGTGAGCCTTTGTGCGGCAGACCTGTCGTGACCCACAGCGGATATGGAAATGGGGCTAAGGTTTTATGGGCCAAACGGATTGGACACAGTCAAGCTCAGGGGGCATGAATATTGGATGTTATTTCTGCTCCCTTTTTATGTAATCCATTGCCAATACATTATTAATAGATGATATCATATCCAGAACTACTGGACAAAGCACTACAGAGCGGTGCTATGAAAGGAGCTCTATGTGGTGGAGACTGTGGCAGAAAATACAGTTCGAGTGATATTATTTTATCGCTGTGGACTAACACTCTCTGACTAGGCAATCTTCACAGTGTAGTTTTTTTGGACAAAGCGAAGTTCATAGAGGGGAAATACAGTGGATTCTGTATGTCTATCAGAGGTGAATCCCGTATTTGTGGGTTTGAGGTGCACTGAAACATTGATGAAGTATCAAATGACACCCAAATACAAGTTTAATGGATTTTGAAGCACCAAGATACTTCGCTCATCCTTCTCTACTGCGGTGAGTGAAGTGGAAATCTTTCCAAGGTTCTAGAGGTTTCGTTGCACAGCAGACTCCCAGTGTACAGTAGCAGGGGAGCAGCTTCTTATCTGATGTACCAATTCACAGACAGGAGCCTAATCTGGGACTAGACTTTTTTTTTTCTTTTTTTTTTGGGAAAAAAAGGTCAGATTCCCTGTTTTTGATTCAAATGTGAAATTGTTCAAAAAAGGTCAGAATCCCTATATTGATTCATCGTGATCTCAAAGTTATGATCTCTGGTTGCCAGTGAAGTTTTTATGAGTCACAGCAGCAGTATCCTACTCGTGTGTAAACTTCACGGGAGTTGCAGCTGCCTTTTTTTTTTTTTTTCCTCCTGCACAAAACACATCACTCAGCGGTTACACAAATCCTGTCTGTCCGAGAGCAAATCCTTAAAAAGTACTTCTCAGCACTGCCCATCGAGCACAGAAGATAAACGACGATCCACCTTTTAGTTTTTACGGCCCGTCTTAACACTGTACGCGCGCTGGCACGAACATATTATCGCACGAGCATCAATTAAAGGTGAATGTATAAGTCCCCCCTCGATGAGAGTTACATAGGGAGTGGATGCGTAAGGTAATATTCTCTTTTTAAGGTCAGTTTGAATTGTTTTTCCTCATGGGAAACGGCAGATTGATAAAGAGCAAACAAAACCTCTTTTCTGAATGCTTGTCCTCCATGGCCTCAATGAAGGTTTCATTCCTTTATATCATCCAGCCCAATTCCCAGCATGCACGGCCATTGTGGCTCTTTCAACTGGAGCTCTCCATTGACTGGCTCATTGTCCGGCTGCTCTTTTGTGCGCACTATCACCGGAGCACAATCTTTCACCTGAACAGCACAGGAGCGCAGACCTGGACATGGTCACGTAAAAGCTGATTCGCCCCCACAGATGCCAGGTCACGCAATTAACACGCCACTAATGTTTTTATTGCATAAATATATATATCAACTTTTTAAAAAAAATCTTTGTTGATGCTTCTCAATAAGGGGGATATTAGTCATGCTCTGGCAGCCGCCGAGATGTTCAATATTAGCGCTCGGGCTTATATTTTTGAGAGGAGGTTTTTTTGAAATATAACAATGCACGAGCAGATGTTTGAAGCGTGGCCCTCGGCTACACAAGGCTAGTTAAGATCGATATTGCTTTCAATATTTCTTTCCTTTGACAGATAACCAGTACTGAGGAAAGTCTTGATAAGAGTGGCAACATATGGATGTGGCAAGCCTCGCTCTCTTTTGATTGCGTGACCCCCTGACCTTTGCCTGTGTTGGAGAGGGAGGCAGCCACATGGTACGGTGGGGGTCTGTCAGGCTCTGGTTATGGGGCATTATTGACCCAGGATTTATAAATATTTAATGCACACATTAAGATCATGGTGGAGGGTGGCCATTAGAGTTCTCCAATAAAGAGGCTCTCACGATGATTGAGTGGTGTGGCAGAGCTCGGGGCTGCTCGTCGGGTACAGTGAAACTTGCTGAGACGATAAACTGTACCTCCAGCCTGCCTGCCAGGCTTCAGAGCTCTTAAACCTGGCAACAACTGAGCAAACTTGTCATTTTTTTATTATACTTTTACCCTCAGAATATTATATCGTCTTTTTTTTTCTCTCTCTCTGTCAGTGTCTCTCAGTGTTGTTGTTGTTTCTGCGATGAGACAGTTTCCTCGGTTTCAGTTGCTTCACACTTAAGACTAAAATAAACTGCTGTTTGTCATTGAATAATACGGAGAAGGAGCAGTAAGCAAGGCGACAGAGCCGAACCTGTGTATGTGCATCTGAACAGATAATACAATGTCAGGAAGCAGATGTGTGGCTATTGTTATCAGACACATTGGATTATCGAGGGAATGATTTCAAGCACGAGGCGATCGCAGCTGAAAATTAAATCGCTCTTTTGAGTGTATCTGTCCTTTGCGCTATCAGCGACTCGCCGACTATCTCCCGCGCCGCGAGATCTGTGCATGCCGGCTGACATAATAAGCTGTGATATGTTGATTGCCACTCGGGCGGCTGTCGTTTAATTGTGCATTAAAGGCAGAGGTGGCCTCGGACAATGTTGCCTTGATGAGAAATTGACATTTTGTGACCTGCTCAGGATGCCAGATAAGATGCTCAGTTGTTTTTAAGGGGAACCACTATTCTTCCCTCAAACACTTCTATCCTTCTGTTTGACCCACTTGATGAGTATAGATTTCACTGGCCCCCCTTTCAGCGCTCAAACTATAAGAGGTTCAAAACGATACCAGCCCTTATAGACAAAGGATAACCTTGCTCTTTCAATGTATTGATTCTTTATTAACTAGGTGGCTAAATGCAATAAAATGAGGGATTTGAATGAGCCCCATTTGGGGTGCTTTGAATAAAAAGCTGGCGATGTTTATGAATGACTGCAATGACGCTTTGAAGCACCACAGATATGCTGATACAGAGACCAGTAGGAATATGCAACAGTGTCAGAGTGCTTTGTTGAAATAATGTGAGTGAAGAGCAGTTTTCATCTTTTATGGATGTTACACGTTTCCACAGGTTATCAAACAATTATCTCTATGGCAAAGTCATGGCAAACACGACAACTTACAGACGAATCACAGGTTTGTCCTCCCCAAGTTTCTACTGTCTCTGTCCTGATCGTCAGTTTGTCTGCCGGCCAAACTGCACTGGAAACTGAAGAAGTCCACAGTTGATGAGCTATTGTGTTTTTACTGAAAATTTTAATAAAACATCACTTATTCATTTCTGTTTCCATTCCAAATGTTGACATTTTTAAATTTTCTTCCCTGTAAACACATGTAAGCTATGTGGCAGAGTCATAAGTGGTGAGTAAAAATGACTTCTATACATTCTACAAAACAGAAAAAAAGTACAACCACAAATGGAGTGTTTTTTTTATCTCCAAGGTTGTCCCTCATGCACATTAGTCTCTATTGGATCTTAACAACTATCATATGGGTCACAAACAATTTATTTGACAATACAACCAACAAAGTTTTCTCCAAAATGGTCTGTATAGATAATTTAAAATCAATATAAAAATAAACAATGAAGTTTGACTTCCCCTTTAAAAAAATGGACAGAGAGTCTTGACGGAGTAACACAAATTTTTTGAGGATACACATGAAATATATGCACATTGCATTTCATCAAATACAAAAAGAAAACAAATGAAGGCAACAGTTCTTGGCTGAATTATCTGTGCTGCATCACTATATTAAGGGCATGACGATTAATACATACATAATGAAAAGCAATATACAAAATTTCAGAGATAAATACATTATTTATAGTTGATATGTTACAAAATTTCCCTCAGTGAGCGCAAGTGTGTGTTTGAACAGAAATATGACAATGAATTACTATACTCCTACATTCTCGATGGATTTTAATTTTTGTTTTTTAAATGTTTTTTTGTCGATCTAAAAGAACATGAAAAAGACAGATGTATAAATATTTAGCACAAGTTTGGCAATATCACAATAGTCTACAATTTTTAACCACATATAAAACACATAAGGGAGTTGGAGCTAGAAGGGGGAGACTGCTCCTCATCAACAAGAAACAGACTTCACAGTAGCCTAGGAATGCATTAATATACAGTGCTAGCAAAAAAGTTGAAAAACATGGCAAAACACACTTGCTTAAAAGGAAGCTCTAGACATGGAAGTACATCATATTCATCAACAGAGCAGTGTTTTGTACACGTCAGTGTGCTTGTTGAATCAAAGTGGATTTTTTTTTACTTTTGAAGATGATTTCTAGCTACAATAAATTACAAAATTTAAGTTAAAATGCAGGAATGAAACATGATACATCCTTACCCGCCCAGGCCCACCCCGTTGTTTTTTTTTAACTCGTATTTGTTGTACTTTTATGATCAATTTTTCTACATTATATATCTCATATATTTTTCCAGTTGAAATTCAAACTGTCTTGGCCCCTGTGTATTTTTCCTCACACATAAAAATACAAAAAAGTCACATTATAAAGACACACAACTGTTGTGAATCTATTAAAAGAGAGTTGAAACAGAAAAAGGAAACAAAAACAATTTCTGAGGCAAACAAGTTCATTGGCAAATGTACTGTACATCAGTGTTTTTACTTTACAACCAGATGGTGAGTCCACAGAGTCCCTTCCAGTATTGAATGTGTTGGATGATTGGACAGATCCGAGGCCGAGGCGCAACCCGGCAGGTATACAAAATAAACCCTTCTTCATCCCGCGTCCTCTTCAAGGGTGATAAAATTGAGGGAAAAAAATACAGACGACAAAAAAAAAAAAAGTCCCACAGAAAAAATATTGTTCCTTGTGAAATCCTTTTGTTCTGTAGGTGGGTGAAAGTCATTTAAAGGAAAAAAAAAATCTTCTCTTTTTTTTTTGTTCTTCATCTTTAAAAAAAACCAAAACGAGCGGTTGACTATACATTACACCAGCGTTTTTGTGGTGTGTTCAGGGGAGGGGGGGGGGGGGTTCCTCTGAAGTGGTAGACTGGTGCTTGAGATGATGAAAGTGCATTTACATTGGAGGGACAACCAGGCCGGACATGGCTGCGGAGAAAGAGAGAAAGAGAAGGGACGTTAACTTATTGGGCTAAAAGAAAGAATTGGATATAAATTAGAAAAATTATTGCATGCATGAATGTGCTGGTGCATGTGTGTGTGTGTGTGTGTTTGTGTGCATGTGTATGTGTTGCTATGTGTGTGTGCAAGTGCAGCCATCTGACAGTGCACAAGTGCGTGAATGCATGCCTTAATGTGCCTGTTTGCGTATGTGCCTGTGAGTGTTTGCCGTGTCCACCAGCCTGCTGCTGCACATCCTCCCTAACAGGCAGAGTTTGAAAACCTCCCTCCTGCTCTGACATTTCAGCCCCCAGCACGCCACTCTTGCCATGTGTGATATTTCTCCTGGCGTTGGGGTAATGGCAAACAGTGGCCCAGACTCCCTGGAGATGCGGCCGTGGTGACGGCAGAGCAACAACACGGTCACTTCCCACAATGCCACAACGCTACAGCACTAGACGCTCCTCAGATTCCTCCTCTCGCTGCCTGTTCCTCCCCTCGTCTCTTCATCCTCCGCTCTACAGCGCATTAGTCCCACACTTTCACATTCCCTAAGACGTTCCTCCGTGTCATTATCCGAGAGAGATTAGGCGAGATCAAAAGGTAGCTTCCGTTATTTTAGCAGGACCATCTGCTTAGGATATCATTAGCAACTGTACCTCACCCTGAGAGTTTATATATTCAGTATTTTCACACGTTTTAACAATTAGGCGACTAGTGAAGTGCTGGGATGATATATTATTATATTGCTCTGAGTATATTTGTAGAGTCATGGTTGAAATGCTTTTAAGTTTGCCAGCGCAGATGATGGCAAGGCATTGCTCATTAATTTCTGCACAACATGTATTAATAAGTATGAACGTGTAGCAAGATGAACTTTAATTTCCCACTTCATTAAGCCCAATGTTATTAATCTTGGGGCACACACTACGGCTAAGCTTGTTTTCAAAGCAATCATGTTGGTCATGACACATGCACAAAACCTAATAAACATAATTACTAAAACAATTCTGGGAAGGTCTTTTCCTGCGACATCAGAGATCATTTGTACGAAAGGGCAACAAGGATGCATGTGTGTTTGCACAGATGTGAGACGATGCTTGCAATGGTATATTTGTGTTTGTTTGTGAAGACATGCTCAGTATGTGGTGCAGTGTGTGTGTGTGTGTGTGTGTGTGTGTGTGTGAGTGTGAGTGTGAAGTGAAAGGTGTAAATTGGCCTGTCAAAATGCATATATTTGTAATGATTAATCCCTCACCAAACCGGACAGAGGCCTGAGCAGCGGTATCTGACCAGTAGTCCGTGGGGAAGGGATGAGGGGGTGAGGGGGGCTCACCTTGCAGTCCGTTGCCGTTGGCGCTGGTGCAGGAGGGGGGTGGGGAGGCCTGGGGTCGGACCACAGGGGCGAAGGCGCTCTTTTGTTTAACTGCGGAGACGACAGGGGAGGGAAGAGAGAAGGAGGGAGGGCGAGAGTGAGAACGTGCTGTGAGTATGGTGCTCGGGAGGGAGAGGGCAGTTAAGGTAAGGCTGGGATAGCATTTCTGTAAGGGGGTTAGGGTGGGGGGGTACACAATCAGTACTCACAGGCCCCTACCGTTAACATCTTGTCCGGTTGAACAAATACAGGTGGCATATGTTGAAATACACATAAAAATGAATATAACTTCTATCCCAGGATACATGTGTGTCCTCCGAAGTACTAAAAACCCAACAAGCCCCGTCGAATGAATAGTAATATATTATCTCCATCAATAACGTTATAACTCTGTCACAAGTGATTCATAGAAGTGAAAACGAATGTGTGGAGCTGGAATTAAATCAGCTGCAGCTTAGTGCTACTACAGCGTGTGATAGTGGCAAGCTACTCACTTCCATATGGGGAGTTGGCAGAGGATCCGTTGAGGAACCCAGGGGAGCTTGGCACTCCCAGGTTCATACCGGCATTGCCATAGCCATTCATGCTGTTGCTGACGGTGTTGTAGCTCGACTGCTGCGGGGTGCTGCTGGAGATGTAGCCCCGGGGGGACACGCTGCTGGTGTTCCGGCTGTAGCCCACTGAATAACGCGGAAAGATGGAGAGAGAAACTCATTCATACCTTTCACTCTGCACAGTGTTTACCAGGGAAATATTCTCTGGATACAGTAAACGATCATGGACATTTTACTGCTGCAATCGGATGATACTAGTTTAATAATAAAAGAGTTTGGCACCTAATTGGACCCTTTAACTCCCTATATTGCCTATATTCTATCTTTTTCTCTTTTATTTTACCATTTTAATGAGTGAAAAATAAGTGAAATTTAACTATTTCTCATTTTGCTGCAAACCCCCCTGGAATCCCCTGAAGGAAGCCCTGAAGGTCCCTGGACCCCACTTTTGAGAACCACAGAGTTATGGAGCCATATACCCTAAATCACATACCTTGGTCATTCCCTTGTGACTCAGACACATTGACTGCTAGCTGGCTGCTGAAGGAGTTGACTCCCATCATGCCGTGGGAGGCTGTGTTAGCGAGCGAGGGGATCTGGTTGTGGTTGCGGGGAACGCTGTACAGGGCCTCGGCGATGTCAGCTGCCCTCTTCAGAATGATCTCCTGAGGAGCAAAGAGAAAGCAGAGGTTTTGTTATTTATGTTGTTTTTTTTATAGCTTTTGCTTTGATGCATGGTTCATGGCTATATGGTTAACTCACAGCGCACGTAGCCTACATTGTTCCAGATATAGTGGTGAAAATACCCTTTGGTGATGCTATCAGTGAATTTTCAATGGTTTCTTGTTTAGCAGAGGTGTAAGCGCACAGAGCAGCAGCTGTGTGGATACAGACCTGATTGTTGTGGGGCATTCCATACAGGGCTTCAACGAGATCGGCCGCCCTCTTCAGTAACACCTCCTGATGAGCAAAACAGGGAGAGTAAATGTTAAGACCTGACCACATTACGTTTGTGACCCCAGTTGTTGTTACAGTAACAAACAATATCAAAACAACATTACACAGCAGGGCCGCGGAGATATTTCCAAATGTTTACATGTTCAACCACCTCAATAAAAAGCCACCCTGATTTTAGAGGCTGCATTTTTACAGCGGCACCACTTTGCTGCTTCCAACCATGCAGAGCAGTGAATAATGTTCCCTATCTTAATTAAACTGGCATAGTCCTTTAAAAACAACACCTCACCCCTGATTCTAGGCTTCACGTTTGCTCTGGAGTTCAGCGCCGACTCTCTTCAGAACAATAAAGTGAATTAGCTCTGGGTTAATCTAGTTCTGTTGTAATGACATTAAGGAATTTTTCAATTAACCTCTTTGACTGGATGTTGCAAAGGACTTCACAAATGACTTCCCATCCAGCAAGAGCTGGGTGCTTGTGCCTTGGGGACACGGATGCTCAGGATGTGGTCTTATCCATGTCTGCATGCTTGCCCCCGCTTGACAATGCGGATTAGCTGTGTTGCTTTGGCTCTTAACACTGAAAATGAGTTGGCCCCAGATCCTGTTCCCCCCACTCTGTTTCAGGCTCTCAGCTAGGTGGGGTTTGGCCCGTTTGTGTGTCTTTATCTGCTCTTTGAATTCAGCACTTACAATTAAATCCCTCTCAAGCAAGCAGGCTGCTCTCTTTGTTTTCTATAATACAGAAGGCAATATGCTCTATGAAAACCCTCTCGTCCTTTTAGAGTGCATTTAATCTGACAAAGGCAAGTTGCAGACATGGCTTTTGCGTGTGTTTTTTAAAATGCTTGCTTGTTGTCACCTGCTGTAGAGCAGAGATTTGTCGACTGTGCTGTTAGAACCCTGGTTAAAAGCAATGCAAATCTGTCACCAGAAACATCTCAGATGGCGCTTGTTTTCTTCCCACATTCGCTATGTTTTCTTTTGCGGGCCTCGGTAATTTGTCTGAAGTGTTCCATCACTTGGCAATAGCAGTGTGGGATTAAGACGGCAGCTGCCGTAAATGAATGTAAACACAGCCTTCGCGCCTTCAAACAGCGGCCTCCAAGACTTGGCCTGCATTTCCAAGGCACGGCGTATGTAGTGTGTACGGAGCGTGTGTATGGGCCCTTTCATCCTGAGGAGCATATCTACCACAGCCCTTGATTTATCAAGATGAATCACTGTAGAAGCCACTTCCAGCGTATGCCATGCTCTCTTATAGAAACATATCGCTTAATCCACCCCACGTTACCGGATGGGTGGCTCTTAGAATGGGCATTTACCTCTGAAATTGGTGTGTATGCTCAACGTTGCATGCATCTAGTTTGCATACAAATAAAGAATTATGGTTGTCGTGAGGCAGGTAGACTAAATGAGAGGACCAGCTGTCTTGATGTGTTCTCATCAGGCAGAACAGATTTCTCTCTCTCTTGCTGAGTGAGATAAAGTGGTTTTCTTTCTTTTTGTCTGCAGTTAATAATTACCAATAATCTATTCTATCATATTTCAAGATCTCCTACATGGCTCTCAATTTTAAACAACAATTAAAGCAATTAAGACTGTCGCATTCGCAAGCCATGTTTCATTCTCTTTAAAACGTCCTCTCCCTCCTTGTCCATATGGTACTTTGCAGCAGTGACATAAGGACAGCTTGGAAAAAGGAGGAGAGAAAACGATATTGCCTCTCATCCTTAATCTGTCGTTTACCGCGTGGTGTCTTAACTAACCAAGCTGACTCGCAGGGCTATGCTTAAGTGGCAACCTAGTCATATCCGAGGATGATGAGAAGTGCTGCACCCAATCAAGGAAGAAGTTTGTTTTCTTCTGACGAAATGCTTTCATGCGTATCAGCTCATGCTGTGAATACGATTAACACGGAATAGTGTTCTGAGGGCATTTCCATGTAAATCTCAATACTACTCCAGCATAAGTGTAATTGGCTTTCTTGTCATGGAGACATATCAGAACGCACCATGTTAAATTGAAACAATTAAAGGCCTCAAATGATTTCTGTTGTTCTGTGACAAATGCGTGACAGATTTTCTGCTATTGTTTGCCTCGCTTTGCATAAAGGTCCCGTGTTCAACAACTGTTTAAACGGCGCCGCTCAGATGACAGATCACCTCAGATTTAGACGCCGTGTTACGTTATTGCAAATGGGGAGGGGGGGAGGAAGAGAAGGAAAAACCGTAACAAATGACGTGTTATGAAAAAATATCTAACAATAATAACGACGTGGCCTGACTGTGATTCTTCAAGCACTAGATTAACATGGATGTTGTATTTATATTATCACAGTTAATAAAAGAGGGCCTAGGTTATGTAGCTTGGAGTGCTAATGCCATTTTAAAACTGTAAGGCAATTACTCTGTTAGCTCTAGCCCGAGGTAATGAATGCATTTAGAAGCATAGGGCCATTAGATGAAGGTACTTCAAAGAGCACAGGAAGAGAGATTCATTTAAATACATGGGTAATTGCTTGACATGAACACATTTGTAATATTTTCTCCTTGTGGATTACACAAAGAATTGGAAAAGAATGGGCTTATGCTCATTTTGGGGGGCAAGAAAAGAATCCAAAGCAATCAGCTTAATAATAAAACAATATTGAGTTTCCACTTTTAATTTCATAATGAATCTAATTTGTTACAGAAGAGAGAAATTGAGTGTGATATAATGTGATATCCAGTCTATTTGTCCATTACTGCCAGAGGGCACAAAATGGTATTATAAATTGTCTTTTTTATATTATGAATAGAAAATTGTTTTATAACAAGATCTTAAAAAGGAGGGTGAATTCCAAAGTCTCTCTTCACTTAACGCGATGCCCGCAAACCAATCTCCCTTCTCATCACTTGACTGCTCACACTTATTACTTTCATATTCACCCTGGACTTTGCATTGAATTTTTATATCTCCACTCCTCCCACAGGGTCAGACTGTCATCTGCGATGTTGTCTTAGAATTACGAGGTAAACTTCAATCAGAGGCAGCTTCCCCCCTTTTTTTCTCTGTGTAGCAACAATATTAGCGTGCATCCCTTGCTATCCATGAGCACTCCCATATTGGCTTTCTGTCTCCTCACAATTACCACGTGTCTTACTGGTCCCAGGGAGAAGGCTGGTGGAAATCAATAGCGCAGTAATATTATCAACTGAAGGGTGAAGTCATGGGAGGGGGGGTAGAGGCGGTGAGTGGGCCTGGTGTCGATTTGCCTTTCCGCTAATGCACACCGCGCGTCCTCCAGCTTTATCTTCTTTTTATAGAGTCTCCCTACCTCACCTGCACCCTGTAATGGCTGTTCTCTATATGCTGTTTTCTGCTCTCATTCCAAATGTACATGCCAGCCGCTGCACGCCGCGGGCTGTTTTATTGGGAATGTGCTTTTGACCCCAAGAGCTGACCCTCAGATGGCAAGCTTAACAATGACGAATCACTTGGTGGGATCATTTACATGCCCCCTGAACCCCATATTTGGGTCCATTAGAGAGCAAATCAAATATTTATGTTGTTTATTGGAAGTGCAGGGTTTCATCTCACTCTGTGATTGTTTCATGCAAAGGCTGGGAGACCGTGCTATATTAAGTATACGCACACCCAGGAAACTAATCTTGGGTTCGGTGTCAAAATCTGTCTCGCAGCCAGCACCGCTGCGTATCCAAGGAAAGAAGTCAGGCTTACTCTGCAATAGAGCTGTGTTTAACATTGTTGTTCTCTTTGTTTCACAGATGTGGATTTTCGCAAAGACGCTGTGACTTTATAACGTAGAAATAGTGCGCCTAGATTGACCAGTGATGCCCGCGGAGATAGAGGGAGTCGTGTGGATATTAAAGGTAAGTGTACTCAGTTGAAATTAGAGTAACATTTCATGTCTGGGTGTTGTTTCCTGTCTCCACAGGGATTGAGTCTAATTGAAACACTTCATATACTGAACCAGGGACTAGCTGTGATGTTCCATTTCTCCAAGTTGCCTTGGTCAAACATCTATAGCCACCACACAGTCTGTTCTTTATTAAATTGTCCATTGGACCTTAATGATATTGCTGTGTTGCATGCTGGGATTTAATAGATAAGGTCTTTAAAGGTTTTACAATATTATTAAAACTCAGAGGTGGCCGCCACTTTACTACATGCCGAGGGGTTCCGAACGTACTAATCAGTCATATTATTACACCTCACACATCTGGAATGTCAGTCACCAAAATGGTTACTGGCAGGGTGGCAATTAGTGAAAACACACAGATAGATTTTATCAATAGGAAATGAAAAGAGCGAGAGAATCAAAGGGAATGATGAAAAGAATCAAAGAATCAAAGAGTTTCTGCAGTGGAAGGAAATAATAATAATGGAAAAGGGGAAAAAAAAAACCTGTGCACCTTATTTTCATGCTCCAGTCTTTCAATATGGCAGCCTATTTGTGTGCCACACCAGTGTGTCTCAAACTGATGAGGCTTTCAACTCCTTCACCCAGGTTCAAAAGAAAACAATAAGAAAGCCAAAGCATAATAACATGCAGTCTTTGTCTATTAGCTGCAGTAAGACTAGGGGGTTTACGGCACAGGGTTCTGTAAACAAAAGATTAAACCAAATCGAGCTGCAGAAAATGAAAGGAAAACATGAGTGGGGTAATGAGGGCGCAGACGTCGTTTCTGACCAGATTACCATCTCCACAGACTACTGGAGAGGAAAACGCCTGATTGAGCTATTTTACCACACAGAGAGTTTACGCCTCTCTCTGCACACAATACCAATACCATTACCACGCTGGTTAGCGGGTAAGCCACATATGTGAAGCAAAGCTGTTACGGTTTGGGGTCACAGTGCTCCGTGTCGATGGCAATGTTTTCTGTATTTGTCACATTGACAGTATTAAAGCCTCAGACAGCTGTGTCTCTGTCTGCCGTCCTGTGATTTTTTTTTTTCTCTCTCTCTCTGCTGCGGAGACAGTGTACCCACCTTTGGTAACCTCTCAGGATCGCCGGGGTGTCTGGGGATGACCTTCTGCAGCCTCTGGAAGCCGTAGTCGATGGTCGGCTCATTCAGGGCTTAAAGAAAGAAAAGGAAGATGAGAATTAGAAACAGATTATTTTGGAAGGAACTAATTGAGAAATCTGACTTTACAGTACAGAAGTCATTTCAGGATGCCTCATTTCAAAGAAGCCTCAGGGATGAGACGTTTTATGAAACATCAGTGGCAGGCGATAGAAAATGACACGGGATCCTCTGACACTTGTGTCACCGAGTGTTATTCCATTAACAGCCATGATGGCCTACATCGGTCTGAGAATCGTTCACAGGGACCCTCCCCCTTTTTATCTGCTTGGGAATATTGACTAAAAGCAAACTACATAGCAGGGGTCTTTTAATCTAACAGAGCTTTAATAATCTGTGAAAGGCTGTCCACACATTGATCTAGTGTAGGTTGCTGTCATTTCACCCGTCTGCACCAACTGTACTGCAACACTGGGCCTGTGAAATACGGCAACAGATCCCATGCAGCCATTAATCTCTCCCACCCCTCAAATAGTAATCTGGGGCACGAGGCATATTGGGCGATGAATCAGAGGCACAAAGTAAATGAATCATAACCCAGACTTTGGTGAGAGCAGGGGCATTTTATGTCTGACAGTCCTAATGGGTAATTGAAGGCTTCCTTACAGCTCCGCCTGATTCTAAACAATCATGTGTACACTCATAGGCAGGACGAGGCGAGGGCGGGAGGGATGGAGGGAGGGCAGGGGAGAGACGGAGGGGAGGCGGAGAGCAGTGTAAAGGGGGAAGGAACGACTTAATAGAGAACATCACTTCTCAATGTAGATATCATTTTCAGGAGAGTAACTCCACCGAGCAAGGCGCTTCATAAATCAATGGCTTTCTATGGAGACTAATAAGAGCTGCCTGCCTCTATTCATTGTTCAGCCTGTAATTTGGCCCATCACTCATTACTCAGCATGTAATTTCAGCATTAACACCGCACAGCTCGCTGAACCTGCTGAACACCAGAGAATGTGAAAGCAAGCGAACGCCCCCCCACACGCACACACAGGCAGGGCCACTGAAGCACAAGCCGGGCAGTCGCAGCAGGGAAATGAGCATTTACGTTTCTCAGTCTTTCTTTTGTTCCCTCTCATCTAAATACACACACGAGCATGCTCACACACACACACACTGTACCTGCTCACGCATGCATACAGCACACACACCATACACGTGCGCCACTTTTGCCAAAACCTGAATACAGTAATTGCCAGCTCGACCGTGATCAAATGGAGCAATTATGTGTTCAAGCATGGACAATGCAGGGTGCTAATCGATAGCGAGGATCTAGCTCGCAAATACAGTGGTATTCAGCCCCGTTACTCCAGGCACACCTGAATAAACACCACACCACAACATACACTGCTGGAAATCTGATTTGACATGTCATCATGCGTCCCGGAACGACAAAAGGCCTGCTTTGGAATGTGGTGGGGGGGGCGCCATCTTCTCCTTAATAAAGGATTGATCTGCAGTATTGATCGTACATGACAAGGCTGTAGCGAGGAATTTGCCCCCTTTCTTTTGTTATTTCCACCTCCTTTCTTATCTATGCACTGTGGTAGTCTCATACATGTGTACACACAGGAGCATGCATATTGGTGTGTGCGTCTGTGTGTGTGTAAGTGCATGTGCCCGGCTGTGAGAGTGTATGTGCATGTCAGCCCTGCCAGACCCCGCTGCTCAGTGTGATGTAAATTGTGTATGTGTAAAAAGCACTCCATAATCAGGCCATCCATCATCAGAGGCTGTCAGTGGGCTCTCTTAGGGTGATACATCACGCTCTCCTGTCCTCTGCCTCAGCTGGGGCCTACACAACCCGCCAGGCATGCTGGGAACACAGCCGGAGAGACGTACAGTACAGGACGACACCGAGGTTGGGAGAGGTGCTGTGTTTGATGCATCTCTCCAATGATAATGACACTCGACTGTAAATGTAGACCTGTGAAATTATGATCAATGTGATTTGGAGGGTAGGATATCCCGTCGTCTTAAAGTTTAGGATTAAATTCATCAGTTTTTTGAAGTTCATGTGTTGTCTGTAATGTTTGCATATGGGAAATTAAATACGATAAACTGAACAAATATGTTATTCACGCTCAATCTGGGTTTCAACATGGCTCAGGGTTCTGCAGTCGCAGTCCAAACGTCAGGCATGATCTCCACATGTCGACATGTCGCCGTCTCATCTATCATGGAGATGATCTTTGTAACAACCCCGGCGTAATGAAATTGGTGACACAGACCGCCATCTGCTATTGATTTCATGCAAATGCTTTTGACAGCTGATGGAGACTTGCATTAGCGCTAAACGGTGCTGTCAGTTGATGAGTTGACAGTTTTGTAGTCATAGCATGTACACTGGTGCAGACAGACACAGACAATGTCAATAATCCTGTAAGAGCCGCTGATGATATATACTGAGCACTTATATTCAATCTGGACAATAAATGCGTTATGTGTGTATTCATCGCATTGCTCCACACATTTTTTCTCGCGAGCAAAGATTTTCTTTCACCCTCGGAGCTTTTACAAGAATCATTGGGACGACTCCTCTTACACCACACACATTGACAGCACCCTGCCCCCACACACACACACACTTTTTTTATTTTACTTTCACCTCCTTGCCCCGTGTCTTTTTTAATCTTTGCCACATCATTATGTCCCAACTACACACTCTGTCGTAAACTTTACCCTCCTCTAAAGATATAACGGGCAAATCCAGCTCTGCGATGCACTTGCACGCCAAAATTAGTTTGGCCCTCTCCCTCTCTCCCAACACAATACGGTGAAAGGGAGAGAGAGGGGAGGGGGAGTGAGGGCGTGGAGGGAGCATACACCCCCCCACCCCACCCCCCCTCACATTACCCCTCCTGTAAGGGTTCTCAGACGCTGCATGGTAACATGAAACCCTCCACACACATCCCATAAATCCTGCGCAGGGTGGGGAGTCTAGCCGAGGGGAGGAGAGAGGGACAGAGGAAGGTGGAGTGAAGAGGGGGGGTGACTGGGAGGAGGTATGATGGGGGTGGGGGGTCGCTGGCACGTTCCAGTCACGCCCGCTTCCCGGCCCGCGGCCAATCAATACCACTTTCCTGTTTTAGAGGCGGGTAATTATGAGGTGGAGAGATTGTGTGACCTCTCACCCCTGCTGCATTACTCGCCTGATATTAAGATAAATTGCCTGATTTTGGGTAAACATATGCTGCAATTCAAACTGTCAGCACTGGTTTGCTCAGGGATAATTTGTATTGATCTCCTGGCTTCTTCCCCATTTTGCTTACTGACCTCATGGATAATTAGAGAAAAAGAGACACAGGGAGGTAAGGCAGGGCTTGCATTTGAATACTTTGCAGGAGAGATGAAGAGCACATGCGAGGAGCGGGGGAGCAGAGGGAACATTATGGACTAATAGAATTTTCATTTTCTCTCATCTTCTGCTCAGATTTAGACAGGTTACATGTTTTGTTCAATTACGTTATTATTATATCTTTTTTCCCTGCTTGTGTTACATTCACAGAGATGTAATCGCTCATAGACTTGTTTTCGTGGTTTGATTTCCGAGATGATTCGAATTTAACAAAAGCGACGAGACAACAAAGTGGCAGCACATATGTTCCAGATTTAAACAGCAAAAGAATTGTTTCCACATATGAGCAGAATTAACATGATAGGTGACAAAGGAACAGACCTGCTGGAGAGTCTGACGCTTTTTTTCATGAAAGAATGAGGGGGAAAAGGATTTTATGAATATTTCAGTAATTTTCTCACTCTGGAGAATGAATGATCATGTTTCAGAATATGAAGAAATGTAATGCATGCCTCGGTGTGCAGCTGTGACCGTATCACTTCCAATTTTGAATATCGCGCATGCGCTCGAGCGCTCGTGGCAGGGCTTCAGTGGAATTCCTCGGCCTGGAATGTGCACTTCCCAGTCTTATTTTGATCTGATGCCTTAATCTGCCCGGCCTTTCATGCCACTCACACATTTTCTCTGAGAGCCCCTTTAGCCGCCTCAGTCCAGCCACTTTACTTAAAATGTAGAGTGGATGGCGTGTACATGGCATCTGAGTGTGGTCTGTTGCTCCTTCTCCATGTTCTCTAGAAATAGGACATGAGTAACCGCTCTACAGGAACAGTGTAACATGGCCGACGTTGGCAGCCAGAAGTGCTTACATTGCAATACACCGCTGTGTGCCCTGGGTCTATATGGAAGTGGATTGAACTCGTGTATTGACTTACAGTATCGGGGTATAAACATGGGGAAATGTTTGAGCAAAGCAGTAAATTTAAGGGAAATTGTTCCTTGTTAAGTCTATGAGCCTGAATGGAGGCTTGCACAGAGTACTAGCATTCCTGCCAGCCATTACAGCTTATTACGATAACTCTATCTTTCCAGGAGATAAAAACCTAGCCTTGTTGCCATTTGCCAGCTATTACTTTCGCTAATTATACTTAACTGCTTCGAGCTTATCTCCACTCCTCCTACACCATTGAGCAGTTATTTTTTTCTTCCCCCTTAACACAAATTAGAGGTGGAGTGGGAGTTGGAAAGGGGGAGACAGATAAACAGCACAGGCAGAAGTTCATTTAAGTGTTATTGCATTTGTGACTTGTCAAACAGTCTAACTGAAGCCTCCTAGGCACCTGCAGTCGGTTAGATGGATGCGGTTCAGAGCCGTATCAACACATGTAATGACCTCATCTGGCTGCTGGAGACACAGACAGAGCAAATCTCTGTCACTGTAAGGAGTTAAAACTGAATACTGTGAAAGGTGAAATACTCGGAAGTCATGCCTCAGCTGCACAGTATGGAAATGTTCCAGTTTTTGCTGAGAGAATAGAAAACATGCATGCAGATGTAGAGACCATCTTTACAGTAAAAAAACAAAAAAAACCACGCCAAATTGGAATTTTCACAGCAAACCCACGCAAAGCAAACCTCATCTGTTTCAACACTGACCATATCATCTCCATCCACTGCAGCCAGTTACCACTGAGTGAT